GGAGGCAAAAAATGCTGTATTCAGTGTATAAGATGCACCCAGATTTTCAGCCTCTTTTTTGAGGGAAAAGGTTGCGTCTTATACTCCGAAAGATACGGTACATGGGATGCAGAGTGGAAGCCTGAGAAGCAGGGGTGAAATCCTCCCGGTTCAGCCCGGTTCGGCCGAACCGTTAGGGACGATTGTCGTTGGTTCTGTGAACCGGTAATAAAAAAAAAAAGCTTCTGAGGATCACGCGGCTCAGCTGTGTGAGCTGCGCGATCATCGGAAGCTTCCCCCTCCCTCGCTTTTTAAAGCATTTTTTTCCTGCCGGTTCCCCTGAACTAGCAGGAAAAAAAATGCTTTAAAAAGTGAAAAAAAGTTGACCATGCCCACCAAGTCACATGACACCCCCACCAGACCACGCCCACAGAACCGGGGGGGGGGGGATTTAGATTTCACCACTGCTGAAAAGTTATGTATAGCATGTTGGAAGCAGGGAAATTCATTATTTTTGCACATATAAACTTGGGAGTAAGGATGATAAAAAAACAGATAAAAACAATTATGCAACATTAATTCCCCAAATATCTAGGTATGATATGTGACTATGACCAATAAGTTAAATGACTTTTAGAAAGAGTTCAAAAAAATAATCAAAAGTGAGGAAGGGTCCATGAGGGAACAACCCCTCCCCGCCCCCAATGCTTTCCAGAGAAATGAGGCTACAATTCAGAACCCTAGTGACTTGTGGCCCCACAGGCTTAACATATCAGGTTGGAGGAAGCCACATAGGGAACATGATCTCATTATGCTTCTGAACATGTTCTTAACTGGGCACAGGGACACAGCATGCCAAGATTGACAAGGGTAGGCCATTTTCAGCCCTAAAGAGACTACCTACCTGTGCAAAAGGAGTAACAATCATGTCTTCTCCATGCCTGCAAGGAGAGAAGAGAAGTAATGTTAATGGCTACAAAGTCGAAAGAGTGGGTTTAATTTCTGAACCCAGCACGAAGTGCCATACGGAGAGCCCTATCCAGGTAACATCCCTGTCCTCAGCTAACCCAGAGTAACTGATGGCCTTGGAACTTTCTTTCCACACTATGGCAGACCTTTCAACATATCCCCGGTGAAATCGGAAACCTGGATCAGAACCCGCCCTGTACCCATTTCATAAGACCCTGTCCCTGTGCCTTGCATGAAATTCACTGAACTTGACATGGTTGTTCTCAAATGTAAAAGAATGAGAAGCTGAAGAGGATTATTCTAGTTGCAAATGCCAGAATAGAATTCTTCTGCGATCGAGAACGCAGAAGAGGTAAGGAGAGGAGAGTGGAAGGGAGAAAAAGAGAAGGAGAGAGGGTAGGAAGGGGAAGAGGAAGAGTAGGAGCAGGGGAGAGGTAAGGGAAGAAGGAAGGGGAAGGAGAGGAGGAAGGAANTATTGAGTATAGAATATTTTAAAATGGTTTACTTTAATTTATTTTTGGATAGAATATTTTTTAAATAGTCTAAGACAATTTTTAAAAAGATTCTATCCAAAATAAATTAAAGTAAACCATTTAAAAATATTCTACACTCAATATTTTTATGTAAAACTATTTTAATACATTCTATGCATTAAATAAAATATTATTTTAAAATACATTAAAAAAATAAAAAAACAGGTCACTTACCAGTAGGCAGAATCAGCAACACTCCAATGCGATGGATGGATCCTCGTCACGATGGATGGAAGCAACAGGGAGCAGGCAGGCAGCAGGAACAGGTAAGACACTGGACCCTCAGACAAGGCTAGGGTCACTAAGGCCGCCTGGCAGGAGAGGGGGTGGGGGGGCTTCCCTTGCGAAAGGTAGGCCACCTTCGCCGCCAGGCCGCGGCTTTCGCGAGGGAAGGCCTGGAGCCTCTACTGCCGCTACCGCCCCCCACCCGCCTTTGGCTGCGTGGCGTGCGCCAGCCCGTGGCTTTTGCGAGGGAAGGCCTGGGGGCCTTCCCTTGCAAAAGCTAAGCCGCCATCCACCCGCCTTCGGCCGCATAGTATACACAAGCCCACGGCTTTCGCGAGGGAAGGCCTGGAGCCCTTCCCTTGCAAAAGCTAGGCCACCTCCCCCCCACCCGCCTTTGACCGCTACCACCACTACCGCCCCCCCACCCAGCTTTGGCTGCATGGCATGCGCCAGCCCGCAGCTTTCATGAGCTTTGCGAAAGCTAGGCCGCTGCCCCCCCACCTTCGACCGCACTGCTACCGCCCCCACCCGGCTTCGGCTGCGTGGCGTGCGCCAACCCACGGCTTTTGTGAGGGAAGGCCTTCCCTTTTGAAAGCTGGGCCACTGCCACCCACCCGAAGCCTCCCGAGTCCCACCGCCAGGGCTTAGTTGCTTACCTGAGGGGGAAGCAGCAAGCTCCTGGAAGGCGAAGGCTGAAGGGAATTTTCAAATGGGGGTTCATCTCCAGCCGCTCACTGATTGGCTGTACTCCAGCCAATCAATGAGCGGCAGGCTGGGCTTAGTGCAGATGGGCAGGGAGCAAGTGAGATAGCTGCGGACAAGTGAGGGAGCGAGCGAGCGAGCTGCGACACGCCGGCAAAAGGGCGCTTTGCAGCAACAGGGGCCAGGACCGGTACCGGCGTTCCCAGAAGTTAATTACTTCTGGGTTCACCAACCAACTGTTACACATGAACCGGGGCGAACTGGGAGGAACCCACCCCTGGTTGGGTGTCAAAAGCATACAGATATGGGCAGGGGGAGTGGAAACTAATACAAAGGGGGGGTGCTGCTGCTGTGGACGATGGGGGTATACTCCTGGTGCACGTGCCCACAGAAGCAGGCTTGGTGGAGAGTGATGGATGGTGTAGACTGGTGCCTCGGCAAGGCTCGAGTGGAGGGTCCCCCTTCGCCCCCCTCCTTGACCTGTCAGATTGCCCCCCCAAAAGCTGGCCTCACCCCCGCCTCTTCCGCCCCCCTTTTCCTTCTCGCCCCCACCCCCGAGCATCCGGAAGTGCCCCTCCCA